CCCCCCCCCGACAGAAAGTAAAGTGTGAACCACAACTAAATCCATTGTAGGACAACGGATGCATCACAAAAAAGGTATACTACTACTAAAAAGGTATACTACTGAACCTCCCCAATTGTTCCAACAGTCCGTCTTTTGGAAATAAATCCCTCTGTCCCTCCTTGTTCCTCACTTGTCCTTCTTTTTGGTCTGATTTACAACCATGTAAGAAAACATGCTATTAAACTACCAAAAGTGTTATTCTGCACTAAAACCTTCATATGTTTTTAGATTGTAAGCCCTCACCGGCAGGGCCCTCCTTACCATCTTGTCTTGAATTGTATGTCAATTGTAATGTCTTCCCTATATTGTAAAGCGCTGAGCAAACTGTTGGAGCTATATAAATCCTGTATAATAATATTATGTCTTAATTATCTATTTTGTTATTTTGCAAGCTAGTATAAAGAAAAAGTAATGTTGGAAAACAACAATTCTGGGTTTTACCAATCGATTTCGGAAAATAAATTCTTAATGGTCCACATAACTGGGGGCATGGCAGGGGTCCAGTGCCTAACTACATTGTGCTAGAAGGTGTCCCTCTTTCTCACCTCAGGAAGTTAGGAGGTATGAACTATTAATTATAAAGTTTATTATCTACTGTCATTCCTCATCAGAAAAGCAGAAAATATTTTTGCACTATATTCCCCGAGTGCCCCCCCAGCATACAGACATGTCATTATTTCTAACAAGGGTCATTTACGTGTCAATGATAATTTCTTGGAAGTAATGTTAATAGTAACTGTCTACTCCCTCATGCTTACCCCTCAGCTCTGCTTCCTGAGAGTCCTGCTATCCATGTGGTAGGGTAATAATAAAATAGAAACAGAGGAAATTATTTCTAAATGAGGAAATCCTTGTGAAGTTGGTTACAAGATGGTAAATGTCTCATTTTTTGCTGTGTGTTTGGTTAGTAAGGGAAACCTTTGGTCTCTGGTCTCCAAAGGGGGATGCGTAGCTCCCACAAGCACACAGCTCACAGTCTGTATGGAGTGACTGTGTCCTGCTACTGCCACTTATATAGTGAGCTCTTTATATTCATTGCCCTCAGTAAGCCAGCTTCTGTTTTATTATGTCTAATTCACAAGTTCTGCACGTAATAACGGTTCCTCAGTGTTTTCAGCATTAAGACCTAGTTTTTGGAAAGTGCCAACTTTTGAAGGAAAGTCATTCAGAAAGCCGTTATTTTAATAGAGCCGTTAAACGTTTCAGATGCTTTGATGACTGGAGTACTTTCATAAAGAAGTTCATTTTTTTAGGTGTTTAGATATTCTTCCCATTCCTGATCTGCCATGAGTATGAAAGTTGACGTGAAGCCTGCTTGAGCTCATAAAATGTATATTTTTGCATTTATGACGTTTTCCAGCTGGTAGAGAATAGCTTTATGAAATGATCCAGCCAGCAGAATTATGGTACAGTTATTATTTTCATAGAGTGCGGTGTGTTCTGCCTAATGAAGTCATGTTATATGAAAATCAGATGTAAATAAAACAGGTGGTCTCTCAAACTTTTATTAACATGACAGCATTCCAAGTTGGAATTTCTGTGCAGCAAAATGAATAGGAGAGTTCTGTGAATTTGGGAAATGCAGTCATAACATATTTTCTATTTTATTGTCACAATCTGGTTTCCAGGAGAATTTCAGGCATAATAAAAAATTGGTCATAAATATGTAAAGTTCACAGTAATTTACCTGCTCCTGCCTGCCAAACATCATTTTAGAGGGGGAAAAAAGGAAGTTAAAGTGAATGTACTTCTTTTTTTTAATGCAAACACTCTGAAATTGCAAGTGAAATATAGTGCATACATGTACACTAACTGACCTGGGATCATGTATGGCCTCTTGGCTTCAGCTCCGCTGGCTGAACAGCTCAGATCCCAAAGACTTTCCACACACCCCTCACAGTGTGTCAGTATGCTTCTATATTTGCATAGGGTTCCCTCTTCTCATTAGTTAACAGCTGAACGTTTTTTAAAACAAGTGACAAATTACTTAAAAAAGAAAAGGAGACAATGAGGATTGGGTGGGGATAGAACTACCCAATTACACTCCAATTTCCTTCCCATAAAATGTGCTTACATGCAGCAAGTAGATCTATTACCTAGATCTGTCTTTTCATTAGCTCCCCCCTCCAGTATGAGTCTTGCTGTGCTGGGGATTACAAGGAGCCAATAAAAATAAATATGCAGGTAATTCTACTGGCTGTATTTAAACACAATACATAATTTATAATAAATGCATAACTGGATTAAAGGGTTTTTTAAAATATTTTGATAAGTTTTTAAACTGACGTGTTATATCTATAAACATTGTAAACACGACAAAGGATTTCCAGAGCACCATGGTTTATATTTGGGTGTCTAAAAAGACAGTACAACAGTATCCACCTTCTTCAAAGAACAATTTGCCTGTTTGAAATCTTAAACAAAGAAATAAGGAATTAGTCACTACTCTACTCTCACTTTCTGTGTGTACATTATAGCTTGAGCTGCTGAGGTCCTTAAACACCATGCTTTTTACAGTTGGTGGTAAGGAGACAAAGGAGAGGAGCCTAAATCCCACTACATACTAATCACATACAATATTTCATATTTACATTAAAAAATAAATGTATTAAATGCTTTTTAGCATAATAAACAAAATAGAAAAAGGTATATACAAAATCACTGCACTCTCCAGTTAAGCCTGTATTATACAAACAATTGACTCTGTAGGTTCCATACAAACTACTACATTCAATAAAATTTAAAGCTGAACTTCAGGCTGACCCAAAACTAAACTTCAACCCCCCAAAAACCCCAGCATGTACCTCGGTTCACAAACATAATTTGTTCCACGATTCTGGCCGCGAACTGAATCAAATTTCCCCATAAGGTTCAATGTAAATAAGGTTAATATTTCAAAATATGAAACAAAGTACAGTACTGTATGAAGAGAGTGAACACTAACCTTTGCACTTTCTTTTTACCACCATGCTTGCTCTGCACTTTCTTTGAAGCCATGCTGGATTGAATAATAATGTACAGTACTGTATGTGCTAAAAAGCACACAAAAAAAAGCTTCATGGCAAGTGTGCACAGGTCTGTCTGCGACCATGATCTCGTGTACAGGAAGCCACGACCACATGTCAAAGCAGGGAAGATGACCGCTGTTTGCGAACGGAAGTTAAACGGAGTTAAATTTACCTTAATCCATGGTGCCTTGGCAGCTGGCTATGTGGTCCTCTTTTCTCCCGCCCTGGAATGTGGGTCGGCCCTCAACATCATCATGTACAGTTCAGGATCAGCGATGGTTGCTGGTCCTACAATGCATATGATGATGTCAGCAAAAGGGGTAGCAACGCAACCAGAGAAGAGGAGAGGTACTGAGGAATCGGCAGGGAGAAAGAATGTGAGACCATGGATCAAGGTAAGCATTACTACTCTTGAAAAAAGTCAAAGGAGACAAAACATGTCAAGTGGAGCCGACTGATGGTCTGCGCTGTAGTGACTGTTTTTATGCTGTGGAATACAATTTACCATGCTGTGACCCATCTATATTGATGTAAGTGCAACTTGATTGTATCTATCGATTCAATAAAAAATTTTACCTATAGAATCCCTTTGTGTTTTGTATGCTACAAATTCTGAGATTGGAGAACCTTAAGGAAGAGGATCCAGGCAAAGATGGAATCTCTGTAGATGAGGCAATCACCTGTTACCTACGTGAATAAATTGGGATAACCTGTGGAAAGTAAATGCTCTATTGACATTGGTATTATATACTGGGTCACATTTTTTCTGGTGAGCACGGATGAAGGTGTGGGGTACCCCCCAAGAAGAAACAAATTAGATTTTTTTTTTAAACAAAATTTAGACAAGGAAAAAAATGTCCCCA